TCCCCCAAAGCCAAAAAATATTGAATCTTTCGAAGATGATGGAAACAAAGTAGTCTAAACATACTTATGAATCTTTTTACACATTATCTAATGTAAAACCAGACATACCCTTCATTTTTCTAATACGGAATATAAATTTATGTATTCAATCTTGTGTGCAAGGAGCTTAATATTTATCTAGTCATTAGTAATTAGTACTACGTACTTACTAACCTTGTGCATGCAGTTCAAATTCACTGTTACATATATTGATTATATATGAAGATCTTGACCTGACACTAAACTGGCTCGTGCATGGTCTTTAAACAGCTTGGAGTTTTTTCATCCCAGGTGTTTCAGGAATCTCCTCGTGATAAAATCTGGAAAAGGAAACACTGTAACTTTTCTTCTTGGTCTTGCAACAATGTTTTTTTAACTTTCAACTACATGTTTAAAATGGTTGACATATCTATTTTTACAGCGCCAATTTATGAAATGGGAAAGCATTGTAACATTGAAATTGCAGCACAAGTTTCCCGAGTCTCATCCGCCCAAAATGGTATTTCAGCTCTCAAAATGTGTATTACTCGTATTTGTTTCTCCCATACGTATAGTTTCCTTGTCTATTTCCGAATCTAATAGACTTTCATAGAATATATTCCATCTATTGGTCCTTTGGTTCTTTCATACTCCAGATTCCATAGCCAATCCCTGCAAAATTAAGCATTGAGAAAAAGCTACTCCAAATTTCATTGGCTTGTGGAAGTGCTTCTTGAGCATATAACTTTTATCTCTAATTTCTCAATTTCTTGGGGTATGCTATTGCAATTTTTTAAAATCACAGATGGAGATAATGATAAATATCATCTAGAAGGATTAATGGAAAGCCCTTCAGTAAACGATGATGGAGATTGCTTCTCTCCGATCCTATTGAATGCTTCTTCTATCAATATTGAGGTTTACTACAACAAAGCAGTGAACTACACACTGATGGTCACCTTTGTATCCTTCAACATTTTTTTTGTAATATTAGATTGTTGATTCTTGTGGTCGTGTTTAGTGTGCTTGGATGGATTCTTTAACTTCAGAACAGATATCATTCCTTCAAGTTCTATTGCTAATTAGGCAAATGGAACATAGTAACACTCAATCAGTAAGGATAATAATGACTTCTTTTTGCAGTATAATAGTTCTTTGCTTAAAAGTTGGTTAATGCTCGACATCCTTTTTCAAAGGGGGCTGCCAAAGTTTCAATTTTGATGATTGGGCAACAGGCTATCATGGATGCTTATCTGTGTCTTTTGCATCTGACTGCAGGGATACTGGTTGGTAAGTTCGGGTCTGTAAATAATCATTATTCATCTAAGCAGTATAATAATTTCATTTTAATATAAAATCTGGTGTATACTTGCTCTTAGAGTCCCTCTTCAATGCTTTTGCAACTGCTGCATTCTTCAAGTTTGTGGTTTTCTCAATTTTTGAGATGCGATACCTCCTTGCTATCTGGAAAGCAAGTAGACCCATGAACAATGGAGAGGGTTGGGAAGCAATGAGACGTGAATTGTCAGTTCTGTACAGCCGTTTCTGTAAGTTATTAGTTAAATGGTATTTATCAGTTTCTACTTTCTAGCTAAAATCTTCTGTAGTAATTATTCCTTGTGTTCCTCAAGAAATATAGTATTTTGCAGATGGCATACTTCTGGGTGGCATATTGTTCATGTACGAGTTTCACAAGTTTCTACGGACAATTCTTCTGCTTTTACACTCTTTTTGGATCCCTCAAATTTTAACTAATGTCATCCGTGACTCGAGAAAACCGCTGCATCCTCATTATATCTTAGGGATGACTATTACTCGTCTCGCAATCCCCTTGTATATATTTGGTTGTCCTCACAATTTCATGCGCATAGGCACCAACAAGAAATGGTGTGTTTTCTTGGGCACTTTTATGGGAATTCAGGCCTCAATTCTTCTTCTGCAACACTATCTTGGATCTAGGTGCTTCATTCCTCGCCAGGTTGGGGACATTATTGTCATTCCCCGTAAATTGTTCCAAAATGAAGTTTACACTTTGACTTCATGGAGTTTAACACTATATTTGGTTCAAGGAATTTGAAAGGGAAAGGAAAAAATGAGATGGAAAATAATTTTTCTTGTTTGGTTAGAGGGAAAGAAAAGTAGAAATAAAAGAAAATTAGAAAGAAATTGTTTGTTAGGAAAATGAGAGTAGTATTTTCTTTTGGTGAGGAAACTGCTCACCGTTTTGGAAAAGAAGAGGGAAAATAGAATTTCTCTCATTTTTGGTGAGGAAAATGAGCGAAAACCATTTCTTTTTCTTTTCCTTCCAAATTCCTTGAAGGTGTGTGGTTGAAGTTTATTTAGAAGATTGAGAAATTATAAGAGTTACATATTCATTTCCTAAAAAGGGAAAGTGAACAAGCGTAAACTTCATTTTGGGACTTAAAAAATGTAAAGCATAATCTCCATTTTTGGGACGGAGGGAGTAATCACATGTTCATATACTCACAAGAAAAGAATTCAAACAATGGAACCAAGCTTATGCAATCTATGTGATCTCATTGACATTGTAGATTTTACCTGAAAAGTACAGCTATTACAGAAAGCTTGATCCAGATGCAATTCCGCCGATTGATTGCGTCATTTGTATGACTTCCATTGACCTAAGTCAACGATCCAACGATTGCATGGTACTGCGACAGATCATATCATACTACATTCTTTTTTCCCTCACAGAATCTTCTTTTTAGTATTTCCATCATCTCCGATGGAGCCAAAATTTCACCATTTTTTGGCTTTGGGGTGTGATGGAATAAATCAAAATGGATCTCTAAAGTGTCTGCGCTTCTTTAATTAATGAAGTAGCAGTTAGTCAAGCAATGCAACTTTCGACGTTGAGCCGGGGGTCTCTTTGGAAACAGCCTCTCTACTTTCGAGTAGGGGCAAGGTTTGCGTACACACACCCTCCCCAGACCCTACTCTTGTGGGATTTAACTGGGTTGTTGTTGTAATCTTCTTTTTAGTTTTTTAACTTGAAACTAAGTACTTTCTTTGTTCAGGTGACGCCCTGTGACCATTACTTTCATTCGGGCTGTTTACAAAGATGGATGGACATAAAGATGGAGTGCCCAACTTGCCGGCGACCTCTTCCTCCAGCTTAAAACACGGAGTATATGCTTATGTGTATTGATTCAACTTTGCTCAAACATTGGCCACACTCAAAGGTAATTCGACTTTAGCAAGTTCTTACACGGCCACGTTCAATTACTGAATTAACCTTCCAGATGTGCGCTATTTTTATGGTTGACATTTTCTTGAGAAGAATTCATGTCATAACTCCAAGAAATCTGTGATTCTACAAAATACTTATAGATTATATAATTATCACTAGCACTTCGAGAAACATTATATTTCTACAATAATGCTTAAAGATTGCATATTGATCACATACAGGCCTAAAAAAATTGAATTTTTGGGAGCGTTGTGTGATGAATATTTGATCTTGGTGTGTTGTAAAATCTCAAATTTCTTTCTAAGAGTATTGACATGAATTTTTTCTCATTTTCTTGTATGTGCTTGTGCTTGTTCCCCAGGATGAATGTAATTATGCTGAACCGCGCTATTGATTAGGCACCCGAACTAAACTAACGTAGAGCTTGGGATGTATATTTTTGGTTTACTTTTGAGAAGAATGCTACTTTGGCAGTGCCATCAAGAATGGTTATAGATTCCTCGTCGACGAACCATATACAATGTACATTATTACATTACACATTCAAGATTAAATCAAACAATTCTCTCTTTATTCATGCTAATTACCTAATTTTAGTCGGATACAAATTGTCTTCATTTCCCACAAAAAAAATGGCCTTTCTTTTTCTTCATGGTTTTGTTGTGATTATTACTATGATGTTAATTGCTGTTAATTGTCCAAAGATCTTTTTTGTCTCACCTTGGGCACTTGCCCCTCTCCACTCACCCCCACCATGTCCCCTGCAAGCTGTGCCCACTACCATTTCATGTTGCTAAAATATTGGTAATTAAATTGTCTTAAAGTATGCTTTTTTTAAATACGGAGTACATGAATTGTCAAATACGGAGTATTAAGAATAGAAATTGCTTCTTCTTTTGTAAAAAAGTTTACTTCTTACGTTACAGTGGGAAAATGGTTTTCCTTGGCAATTATTTTACTTGAAAAATTATTTTCTAGGAACATTATTTTCTAGGATGCTTAATATAAAAGAAAATGAGAAGAAAAAATAAGTTAAGAAGATGAATAATAAAATTCCTACTATTTTTATGAGGAGAATGATAATAGTCACCTTTTTTTCTTTTCCTTCACGATTCTAATGTTAAGCTTTATGGCTTCAGTCTTAACCTCAAAAAATCATGCATTATGCTTATTACAAAAATTGATTTTGAAATTCAATGGTAATTGATTGTGTTGTTAAGAGTACTAAATCCTCTAATAAGTGTGATGAAGTGACACCTCTTAGTCATAAGAGTGTGAAATTCATGACTATGAAAAATTGGGCATTAAACATGTGTAAAAGAGCATTTTGATGGGAATTAGTATGGTATACTCAGATCCCGCTTGATTGTCCAGAACCAAAATATAAATCCATCTTCATCAATCTCCATCATAATGATAATTGTTTCAATGCTCTCACGATAAAAAGAGGAATACAGATTCAAAAAATGAGCTATTAATGGAATTTTAATATAATGGTACCGTAATCGGAAAACCATCGACATTTAGTACCATACTCGACAAATATTACTTTCATATAATACCCGTAGCAATTTGTAGCGGAAAACAATTTATAGTTACTACGGATTAATAACATGACAAGACATTCCAACACTCTGCCTGCATTAATTTTGAATGTTAAATAAAATGTACTCCGTACAAAATACTTGACAATGTAATACTCCCTCCGTCCCAGTGTATTTGTCCAGTTTGATTTTTTGAGTTAAATTAGACAAACTTTGAGCTTCAATTAAATAAAAACCGTAATGTATTTTAACATAAAAATGACTTTATTGGATTTATCGTATTGAGAACTTTCAAATTGTATTTCATTATGCTAATATGCAATATAAATTGAGAGTAATTGAAGTTCAAAGTTTGTCCAGTTTGACTCAAAGCAGTCAAACTGGACAAATACACTAGGACGGAGGTAGTACTTCTCATCTTGTAATATATGACAGCAAATATGAAATATACTATTGACTCAGAACACAATGTAGATTCAATTATGTGAAAGACGATTCGAGCGTGTCAAGAATACGAAGAACCACATCCGGGCTCAAGAAGGGACCTAAGAACCAATTATACTAGAATAAGTGTAGTAGGAGTTGAGGGTGTCTTATCTGCAATTCTGAAATTCCTAGTGATTGAAGATTCTAAGCACATCTGAACCGGCTAGTGTAACGATGTCTTTTGCTTCTGTAACGATTGCCTAAGCTTTCTCAGCAACTGAGGATCTGTGCAGATATAATCTTGAAATGCATGTCTCAGGTCCTTCAACACAGCCACCTGATCTTCGTTTGGTTCTGAATTCAGACACTTGGTAAACAAGCTTTCCCACAGTTTAGTATTCCAGTACCTGAAAGAGTAGGAAGTGGTCAAGGACGACGAAAGACATGACAATTGAAGATAAAAGGATAAAGAAACTTATAGTCTTGTACCGTTTGAAGTGTGATTTGGGCTGGTAGATGTAGGTTCCCCCGCGTGTTGTCCTTTTCTCGATTTCCATATAGGAACCGAAAAGCATCATATGAACAATCACGCATAAGCCATATGTATCCACCTGTTGTTGTCCACCAGTGGTGTTTAAAAAGAAGTCAGCCTTTTTATGAAGTCCTAAAGTTTCCATTTTCTGTAGAGAATTTACTTGCCTGAAATGTCCAAGGCTTGTTCTCCTGCATTTCAATGCAGCGAAATCCAGAAGTTCTACAGTCCCCTATAAACTGTGTCTTCTCAGGAAAGAGGCTCATATCTATTCCCCTACCCCAGTCAACAAGGCACAGTCCCTGGAAGAAGATACAGCTGATGACAAAAAAACCAGTACCCCGTACTTTGCAAAAAAAAGAGCATTCAACACCGATTTCATCTGGTATGAAATGACTAAGTCACGATTTACCTGGTCGCGCCATGGACCAGTGCGGTTACGAAATGCCTCAACATCTTCTGTTAGATTATCCCTGACAAAAGAGGACAGACATATTTTGATCACATTATTCGAAAGATGTGGCCTTAGTTCTCTAAACCACCAGAAAGTATCTACCCATCTACAAAATGATAAAGAAGAGTTCTTTATTGTACAATCAACTACAGAATCTGGTCAAATCTATGCCTTCCATTTTGCTTCCCTATTGAAATTCATTATGTTTTAATTCACTGTAATGGAAATGTACAGACTATGGGTACCTTGCATAACGAACAAGCAGATTATCAGGTTTGAAGTCACCATGGATAATTGCAGCACCATGCAGACTTTCCAACATGCATAGCATCTCTATGGTGTAATAAATGCATAAGAGTTCTTCCATGGAACCTCCAATTGCAGCATTAGCGTTTATGGCATCCTGCCAAGAACCATAATTACACTCAATGAAGAAGGGAAGAATTGAGTGTTCAAATACAAGAATTTAACAAATGAAAGAACAAAAAATACCAACCTGGAGAGTACCATTAGCCACAAAATCAGACACAAGTATGCTGTAGTCTGAATAAAGATGCATCCGATGGGCAAAGCCAAAACTCGACCTCTTATGGAAAAGAAACATAAGTTGAAAGAACTAAGTAAAACAAAACCCGCACAATTAGTCTAGCTTCAAAAGCAGTACCTCATTTTGTGGAATCCGTAAGTCTAGTTGACGATACATGTAGAATTCCCATGGGAATGCAGGTTTTTGAATCTGTTGTAAGCGCAAGGAATATGGCAATCAAAACAACAAGATCCGGTTGTCAGGCCAATCGCATTAGGGAAATCTAATGCTAACAATTTGATTACCTTAAGTGCAACAATCTCATCCGGATTACTGTCAAAGTATGCTTTGAATACTTGTGCAAATCCACCCTTACCGGCACAGCCTTTAATTAGGTACGTAAAACCACCTGCAAGTATTTAAAATGATACATGAGTATATACACAAAAATTCAGAGGTTGCTATAATATATGGTCCTTTTGAATATTTTACACATAGTACTAAATAGTAAATACAAATCTTTCTTTTAAAATTGAGGCTGTACATCAGAATGTTTTAGATATTACTTTCCTCATTAATAAGAAAGTCAAGAGCTCTACATATTTGAAGTGAAACATCAATGAGTAATTACCTAAATCAATCTTTGTATTCCTGCCTGATTTAAGCAAAGTAGATAATGACACCTTTCCAGGATAAGCTTTTTTGTTTGGATGGTACCCCTGATAAAATTATATCCTCCATTAAGAGTAGAAGTTTATACAAAAATAAAATATGATAACTTATCAGGAAATACAACCCAGTAGAGTCCCACAAATAAGGTTTATGCAGGTTGGAAGGGTATGCAGACCTTATCCCTACCTAGACAAGGTAGAGAGACTGTTTCCCAAAGACCCCCAGAATATAAATAAAATTAATGTCTCACGTCATATTTTAACATCTGAGGGTTCAGTTTTTTTAGAAGATCCTTAATGGCTGAAATCAGCCATGGGTTGACATGAGTTCCACCATTTCCTGATTGAGTGGCCACCTGCGTAGAGAATAAGCAGAGAAATCTACCTTTAGAACCTTATACTTGCTCCCACAGAAATATCAACTATACAGCATGTGTTAGGACAAACAAAGTGGATTATTCACAAATTGCAGAATTGTACAAATACTACTTGAAAATGCACAGAACTTAAGTGAATTCCAATACCAACTATGGATGGAGTTAATATCATCTACAACAACCATCCTAGTAAAATCCCACAAATGGGGTTTGGGAGTGGGTGTACGCAGACCTTACCCCTACCTAGAAAAGGTAGAGCGGTTGTTTCTGAATTAAGATATATAAAAGCATATGCAATGGCCAAGGGGTGGCAGCATAGAAAACATGGCTATAATGACTCTTGTGGCAAACAATTTGCAAAGAAGAGTAGAAAGATGCACTGTGTGGAGCACTAGCAAAGACTAAATCCAACTACTTCAGCCACCAGATCATAAATCCATTAAATAAAGCATATGATTGCAAGTCATAAACCGAATCTACAAATGATTTAGACAACAGGGATGTAAGCTTTATCAGTGTCTACTCTCATCCTTCTCAATCCCAGAACGTACCAGTTTCAAATGTTAGATATTTGCCAAGCTATCTTTTGTCAAACATCTATTTCAAGTATTTGACTCACAAATAATGTATGCTGCATAGAAGAAACAACATTGCGCAATCATCTAGAAAAACTACAAATGCATAACAATACCTTCTGGAATGAACTAGTTGTCATGCTATACTCAGACACTCTTTCAAGAAACAAAACTTGAGCCTTCTTCAACCTGCCTAGTGGCTCTGCATTCCTGAAACCAAATGAGCCATCGGTTCACCTCAACAAAATACTAGCCTGTACGGGGGGGGGGGGGGGGGNGTCCTTGGGGAAGACCAAACCTTGAAATGCCCAAGTGGTAAACCATTAAAGCATCAGTCAGCCTGCAGTTCGCTTCCAGAAGCAGTGCATACTTCTCATAAAGCAAACTATTTGATAAACAAATCTTATACTGCAACATTTCTCGGAAAACGCTGTCATAATCTGAACTGAATTCCATCTGCACCATGTCAAATCCACAAAAATTCATGTTTCGCACACGTACATAAACCGAAAACCTAAAATATTGACGATTCATTACATAGATAAACCAAATCTGGAGAAATCTGGCGTCATTTTGGTACCGAGGGTCTGATTTGAAGGTCTGAACGCAGTCTACAGCAATTCGCTCAAGAGCTTCGCTGTTTTCACCCCCGTATGCGATTTGAGACTCGATTGCTTTCTTAACTGAACTGGTAAGATATGAATGCAGGGAAAATTTAAATAAAAATTGAACGAATGAGCGTTTGATTGAGCATATCTGCAGAAAGATGAATGTCGGAATGAGTGAACTCACTAGAGCCAAGGGAGAAGAGGATCATCTAAGGACGTTGAGGTGGTACTTGCGTCCGCCGGAGTATTGGAAATGACAACCATATCGCCTTCTGCTCCCGCCTCTGGGAGAGAGAGGAGGACGACGGGAACGTTCTAAATTTTGAAATCGAGCAGGGGAAGGTTTTGTTGACATTTGTCTGTCTTCAGAAGATTTTTCCTTTTTTTTCTTTTCTTTTTTACTCTTTTTTCTTTTCCATATTAATACTTCCTCCCTCCCAAATTATTTGCCACATTTGTATTCTCGAGTCAAAATATTCAATTCATTTTATTTACATATTGGTAAATAAATAAAAAATAAAATTTACATATAAAAAAACTACATGAAAAGTTCTTCGAAATAAGAGGTGTCAAGAATATTTTATTTTATCAAATAATCAATGAAAACGTCGAAATAAACAAAAGTTTCCGACACTGCTGAAAAAGCAAATGTTGTGAATATTTAGGGACGGAGGGAGTACATAAGTAAGCTTGCCATATCCATAATTTTTTTATCAAGTCTCCCTCCGTCCCTAAATATTCACAACATTTGTTTTTGTGAAATTTGCACTAAATAGGACTAAAACATAATGACTTTCCTAATGTAGGACTTAAATTTTTTTATTCCTTAAATAGGACTAAATAATGACCCCGTGGGAGGAATAATGTCTAGTAATGCTATGCATTTAGTTGAATAATGACTACTTGTTAATTACCAAAAGTCCTACATTGGAAAATAAAAACAAATGGTCCTATATTGAGAAAGTCATTATATTTTAGTCCTATTTAGGTAAATTTCTCTTTGTTTTTTCAGCAATCGCGAGAATTTTTCTTGACACCTCTTATTTCGAAGAACTTGACTTTTTCATGTAGTTTTTTATATGTAAATTTTATTTTTTATTTCTATACCAATATGTAAATAAAATGAATTGAAAAAACTTGATATTTTGCCTCGGGAATACAAATTTGGCAAATAATTTAGGACGAAGGGAGTAAATTTCTAAAATAGTACTCGATAATTATATGTTTTTCTAAATTAGTCTCCAAAATTAAATAATTTATGAGATAGTACTCGTTAATTGAAAATAATACTCATTAAAACGGCGGTAAACCGACGTTAAATCTTATATGGAGTACTATTTTTCTAAAATAATAATCTCATACTGAGTGTTTTTTCAAACTTGTCTATTTTCGAAATGAAATTATGTTAATCAAATTTATAACATAATTCGTGTTACTTTACTTTCAAATTGGTGCACTCTACATTTTCAAAATCAAATTAGTAATCTAAAACGTTTACTTTCAAATTTATAAAATTATGTTTGTAATTTTTAGTATTATATTTTTATCCTATAAAATTTAAAATATTTTTCCATAACTAATGCATTTTATTTATTTCAAAAATAGACTAATTTGATAAAATATGAAGTTAGAAAGTACTCTTTCAGGAAAACTTTTTCAGAAAGTTAGAAAGTACTCTTTATTTATTGCAATGTAGTCGTTGATGGAATATACCGTATTGATGTTAGTTACGTTGGTGGTGGTTGGTGTCAATAATCAATGACAATGTTGTGAATGAATGTAAATATTTGATGGTGGCAATGATCAATATTACTATTTTTCATTCGTTATATCGATGTTGACAAAACCATCAACGACAAAAGTTGCTGATGAGGCTTTTTGTGGGTCATGAGGGACGTGCTAGTAATGCGAGGTTTGAGACCCTAACATATCAATGGAGTGTCATTAATTATTATTGTAAACTTGTAACCAAATACGTTGCATCACTTACCTCTGCATAATTGTTATTAGTGGTGTAACTTTTATTTTTATGCCAGAAATATGTAAAGAAAGTACGTTTTGGTTTTTTAGATCTATGTTTTCAGAATTTACTAAATACCGAATAATAAAAATTATTGCTAAACTCACTATTCATTTGGCTATAACCTTGTTTGTTTATGGCCCTGTTTGGAAAATGGCTTTTCGAATAGCTTTTGTACGTTTGACTGACTTTGGCTTTTTTGACTGAGCGAACAGCCAAAATCGTTGTTTGGCTAATGGCCTTGTTTGGATACTGGCAGTTGGTTGTTTATGTTAGCTGGTTTGAATGGCTGATTGAGTTAGCTGTTTTGACCGGCGGTTTCTGTTAGCAGTTAAATTTTAAGTGTTTGACAACTTTAGCTGTTTATAGTTAGTTGTTTCTAAGTAAAATTACATAAAAGGACATCCCTCCATTTATGTTAATTTGTATGCAATTTTTAATTTTTCTTTAATTTTCATAAAATACGCACATTATACAAGCAAATACTCGACATCCCTACATCTTTTTTTGGATAAAAAAGGCTACTTCATTTTTTTAATAATTTAAGAAATGAAAATTTACATTTATATTTTATGAGTAGACTTTTTTTGTATTTATTTCATTTGTCATTCTACAAATAACAACCGCGCATGGTATATTTTATTTTACAGTTTTTTTAAATATCATATCATAAATATCCTTCAAAAAAAATCATAAATATATAAAGATACTCTACACCAACTTTAAATTAAAAAAATTAAATAAAAAATTACTCAAGACAAGCATCACAATCTGAAGTATCAAATACTTTTTGAGAAGACATGAGCATTAAAAGTGACAAAAAATCATACAAGCTCTCGACTTTTTACTAATGAGATCTTCTCGCCATCAAACTAGAAGTAATATTATTACGGATTTTTCTCATTTCCTGACTTCTTATCCCCATCTCATTATTTGCAACTTGGTTTTCAACATCTTCAAACACATCTACAGGTACAAAATCAGGGTCATCATCAACCAATTGAAAAGCCAGGTCACCAATTGTGCTCATTCGAATATAGTTGTGCAAAGCAAAACACGAACAAATAATCTTGTTTTGATCGATTAATGAATATCTTGGCATTATTTGCAATATCTTCCATCGAGCTTTAAGAACACCAAAATATGAAAAATCTGCACCAACACATTCAAACAAACTACAACCAAATATTCTGTTTTATTTTCTCGCTTCTATTTTTTGGTTGATTATACAACAATTAGATACGAAGTAAAAGATAAATTGTATGATCCTTGATTAGAGGAATTTTGCTCAAGAGGTTAATTGCAAAGAAGAAGAAACCACTAAAACAAAAAATAAATTAATTTTAGAAACGAAAAAGGGTGATTTAGGGTTTTAAAATTTTTCTCAAATCAAGAATGGCCAATGGGATAAAATTGCAGAGAAGCATAATTCCCCACCATGGTTGATGTTTCGTTTTTGGAAGAACAATTGGAGTCAAAAAAATTTGGATGGTTCTACTACAATAATTAGATATAAAAAACAAAATTGCAGAGAAGCATAATCACATCAAAATTGCAGCAATAAAACAACAAAGAAGCATAATTGCAGCAAAAAACAAAATCACAACAACAAAGAAGCATAACCACAGCAAAAAACAAATTCACAGAGGAAAAAACAGAATCGGAGATGTAAAAAAAATATGAAAAATATACATACCTGGTGCCTTGATGAAAATCGAAGAGAGAAATCGCAGCAAGTAGTGTGAGGGAATCGTCTCCTTCTGGTGCTGCAAGGAAAAACGCAGAGAGAATTGCAGCGTAGAGAATCGCAGGGGTTAAGAAGCGGAACAGAAAACAAAAAGGGTAAGAAGCGGAAAAGTTTGCCAACTGCTGTATGAAACGCTCCTATGGTTGGCTTTTCATTTTTTGGCAGTTCGATTTCAAATGCTAAATTCAAATGTCATTACCCAAACAATTATTTGGACGGTTTCACTAGTCCAATCAGCCATTTATGGTCAAAAATGCCAAATGCCAGCCAAACCGTCATTTACCAAACAGGGCCACCTTTTTCACTTGGCATTTTGATTCGAAAAGCCAAAATTCGAAATGCCAAGCGGAGTAGCATTTGGACTTGGCTGTTAGGAAAATTAATTTTTTTAAAGTCGCTTTTCTTGAAAGATATTTTATAATATATGCAAAAACTAAAAATAAAAATAAAAATAAAAATAAAAATAAAATTTAAAAAAAATTAAATACTAAAAAAAATTAAATTTTAAAATTAAAAATTTCAAAAAAAATGAAATGAGAAAATAAAAAGTAAAAATCATTAAAAAGTTGTATATTAATGATTTCTTATGAATTAAATGAAAGTAAAATTTAATACTCCATATAGTAAATATTTAGTTTTTTCATGTAAAAAAATGAAAAATAAATATCGTGTGTGTGTCTGTATATATAACTATTTTCAAACAGCTAATTTTACCAAACATTTTTAACAATCAACCAATTCATTCTGCCGGTCAAACCAGCTGAAGTAAATAGCCGTTCACAATAGCTGACACGAACTGCCAACAGCCAACAACTGGCAGCCAAACATCCAAACAAGGCCTATATCAAATGGATAAATTTATCCTTAATATTTAAAAAAAATAAAAGGGTAAAATCATTTACTCCTTGAGTCCTAAAGCGTTCTCGTTTCTGTTTACGAGATTTGACTAACATTATTTTCAATTCAATTCATTTAGCTGTAGGTGTAAAATTAAAAAATAAAATTTATATATGTAAAAAATAACATCAAAAGTTCCACAAAAGAAGAGATGACAAGACTATATTATTTTATCAATTAACTAATGAAAATAAGTAAATAAAGTGATTAAAATTTGATCATGTGAATAATAACTGGAAAGAATATTTTAGTGCGGAGGAAGTATTATATTCTTATAAATGGGAATGAATTTCAATAAATAGGATATGAATTTGGCACCAAGAAAAATTTTACAAATATAGTTTGTGACAAGTAAATCTATGATAGGGTGAATTGAATGTCACCATGAGAATTTCACATAGTAAATTTACCAAACCCACCCCTTCCAACCGCAGACCAAAAATAGAGAGAAGAAACTCTACAAAAAAAATCCCTGCATCAAAGGAATATATATAGTGACGATGGTGAAAACTCTAGCGTACACTCATCTACTCTCTGAGCTTCTCTCTCTCTCTCTCTCTGGTCTGTAGGAAAACTAAGAGAGCCCCAGTTTCATACTTGCATTCTTCTCAATTTGCTTCCCCCAACTTCGAGTTTCCCTTTGGGAATGATTCTCTCCAGCTGTGTGTTTGTGCACAGCATATAGATACATACACGCAGGTTGCAGAAGGCCGGAGAAAGCCGGCAATCTGTGGAAGCAGAGCGGCGGCGGTAGAGGCGAGAGAAATGCCGGCCGAGAAGCGGTACTCATCGGATTACCATGACGGGGATGAGGACGGAAGCTTGCATCAGACTCAACACCGCCGCAATCAGAGCCGCCGCCCTGGAAAGCAATCTGTACGTAGTGGCTGCGGCGGCGAACAGGGCCGAGCTGCGGAGGAAGTCGAGCGAATCCAGCAGGGGGCGGAGCAGCTTCAGCAGGAGGAGCAGTCGCCCAATCGTGATCAGGAATCAATCAAGCAATCTTCTGGGGATGGTGATTATATATATTTGTATTGAAGATTATCACACAGACACAAACACACACTCTCTCAATCCCAATCGTTGCATATGTGTGTGTACGCGACCCCATATCTAAGTGAATGCTTCATCGCCTACCCCTTTCTGCTTTGACAATTGTTCGTTTTTTTTTTCAAATCGAATTTCAGATTCTGATGAGACTGGAACTGATCCTGAAGACTTTGACGAGTAAATTTCTTGTTCCATTGCGTTATGTGTATTTCAGTTTACATGCACGCATGATTTTGTTTTGATATGACGGGGGTGCTATTCTGCTTGCTTGGTACCAAATCAGTGTCATGTTATGGTTCCTGGGGTTGTCTGATCTGGTGTCTATTTTGAACATTTGTTGACTTCTGAGGAGAAGTCCGTTTACCTTTGCTACATGATGATTGATGAGTTAAGTTTCTGAATTGGGCATTGCAAATTTGGGGATTGGTCGGCGTAATTCATTTTAAAATTTATGATGTTTTGACTGTTCCTTGTGCGATTCAAGATGGACAGTGTTTAGATATGACATTCTGTTCTGCTTTGTTTAATGTGCATGAATGCAGTGGATGATACGATGGTAGGTCATTACTGAGAATGTTTCCTGAATAAATGTGACTTTGAATTTGGAAACTCTACTGTGGGCTGGGAGGTCCTTCTTTCATATCCCGCGATTTGCTTTGAAATTTGTTTCTTCATCCCAATACATTCTTACAGTAAAAGTAGGAGTGATCTATTAGTTTTGGAACCAAAAGTCGAGATTTTGTGGGGAATGACTTACAATGTTTCATAACTAGAAAGAGTTTAGCATGCCATAAGCTGGTCTCAAATGCTAAATGGTGCCAATTTCAGCTGGGGACAAGTGTATAGAAATTTCAGCCATTACAGTTTGATCAAAATAGCCGCCGGTGGTCCACCGTGAGAATGGAGAGCCAGCATTGTGGGACCTCGATCCCCTTCATCTGCGGTCAATGTCCCGGTGTGCCGGTTTAGCTCCATGTTAACATACCCGGGATGCACATATTTGGGTAGGGTACTTCTTCACGAGAAATCTGGTGTGGGCATTCAGCATTGCCTTCGATATGCTATAGGCGGGCAGCATCAGTTGCCACCCATTGGCTTCAAGTGTGCCTTCTTTATGATCACACATAATTTATGCAGAATTTCATCTATGCTCTCTTCTGTCAGATTCTCAACGTCCCCAAGCACCTTCAGAGAAGACATTTTCTATCTGTGCCCCCTCCAGTAGAAAGTTGAGGCAAGGGAAGGAATGCTTCAGTCGCCTTCACAGTAATTAGTATCAAGGCACTCTTCCCTTAAGGTGTCTTTGTCAGTGACAACTCAAGGAGCTCCAGCATTTTTTACCTTAATATTGACCCTTCCATACTGTGTTCTTAGGTTTCCCAAGTGTTGCGTGTTTGCATGTCCACAACATCAAGTTGGCAGAAGACAACATGTGACAGACAATTGTGCAGCAATGCCACATCTCCTCCCCCCCTCCCCTAATTACTGGCTGTTAAAACAACTGTAATGCCTGAGGCTGCCAGCTGTCAGACAGTATCCAAGCCGATCCCCCTGTTTGCTCTGGTGACTACCACATATCCAAGCAGAATTGGCCAGTTTCCCATTAACCTCCATTGTGGCAGAATATTCCTTGGTGATGATGAGTGTGCTCTACTGTTCAAAATGCGTGCTTTCTACTTGCTACACACACAACTATAGATGTAATAAGTTTGTCTGCAGCAGCAGCAAAAAAAGAGGAAAATTGGGTTTTTGGTTCCTTTAACTCTTACATTAAGTGAGTAACCAGCTGTGCTTTCCAGTCTGAAAGAGAAAGGACAGGGGTTACGGAAGAATAGCTGCTCGACATTAGTTCAGTAAAAAGTAAATAAAGTTGAAGAGAATAGAAACATTTTACATTATCGAGACACCAACAAAGCCTTATATTGATCAGAGGTCTCACAATATATATTATGTTCATGTGTAGAAAAGCGGGACCACATTGTCCAGTTCTCATGCTCATTGTATATACGAAGTATTACGCAACTTCATACTACATTATATCTTCCTTATTGTTGGTCTGGAAGTCGTTTTCTAAAATTTGATCAATCTTCTTACAAGTATACTCAGTTGTCAACTTGTCATTCCCTTAATTCTTTGGGGCCTCTGTAAGTTTTCTTAGCAACGTGAGTATGAGTAAATGGGTAGTCTTAGCATATATCAAGTGTCGTTCCCAACGTGGGAGGAGTCGAGTATTTTTTTGTACTACGAATCACAAAAGACTTATTGCTATAAACATTACTCGTACATTTTAGTGCACTTGATATTTTAAAAAGCTGTGTTAGTGGGTTTTATTTTCTTGAGGTGTTACAAAGGATTTAAGCATGGAAATGGTACCACCAATCCACCATTGAGCTACACTAGTTTACCGATGTCTATAGTCACAGTTATACCTTATTGTTAATTGAGGAACCTGCACTCTACTTAGTTTCATTACCCTTTTGGTTATCATCCAAACAATTATATAGGGGCCTATTGAACAAAATGAGCCCATATGTCTTCTTATGGAAGGTGTTCTTGGTCATTTATGCTTTTGCGACCTATTTAATTTTTAATAATAGTTTGGCCTTCATATTAATTAATTATTCCACATGTATCTTTTGCAGGCTGATATCTGTTTCACGATCTGCAATCCGTGGAAATGTTCAATGCCCTATATGCCTAGGTACTTGGAAACTTTCCTATTTTATACTTTCAACATTACAAATTTGTTGCTAGAGTTACTACTTACTATAATACTTTTTCACGGTCGAAGTTTTATACAGTGATATTTTGATTTAGCATCTCTTCTTCAATGTTCAACTTTGGGGTTTAGTGCTAAATACTTGTCAGTTGATCTATTATTCGAATTGTCCAGTTGTCCACATGTCGTTATGAATTGTTTTATGAAGTCGTAGCTGTTTTTTTCTTTTCTTATCTTATGCACGAAAGGCTGTTTCCAAGAGCAGCAAGAAATATATCTTATTAGTCAATCTTGGGACAAACTCGGGTAGTTTATATCAGTTTTCTACTATACATTTTGTCCAGGAAACCCGAATTGCGTAACTTAGAAATGTATCATGTCAGGTATCATCAAGAGAACCCGCGTTGTGATGGGATGCCAGCATCGTTTTTGCAAGGAGTGCATTGACAAGTCAATGAGATTGGGGTATAACACTTCATTTTTTAAAAAAAGTTTATGTTTATCGTCAAACTATACATATCATTAATGAGCCACATATGTTTGGTTGAGGATATCCATATGTTATGGTCCAGTTCATACTGTAACCTCGAACTACCCTTTTTAGGAACAATGAGTGCCCCGCTTGCCGCATACACTGTGCTAGTAGGCGTTCATTGAGAGACGATCCGCGCTTTGATGCACTTATTAAGGCAATATTTCCAGATGTTGAGAAGTATGAAGAGGAGGTATATATCTGCATTTAGATTTCAGCCTTGTATTGTCCTGCATTAAGACTTAAGAGGGTAGTGGGCAAGAACAAAAAAAGAAAAGATAACACCCGTTCTCATGTCCCCTCATTTACTGCTAAGGTTCTTAAGCTCCTCTTTTGCCGAACATTTTTCAGGAACTTGTGTTTCATGAAGAGGAGAGGGCACTTAATCAACAGGTCAGATCTTTGAAATGTTGCCATGGAATTTTCTTATATTACCTTTAAATCTCTACGGATAATCTAACAAAATCTCACATTGCCGACTGGAGCTCTATAAATGGTTAACTTTATACTTGGCAATAAATATATGGGTGAAAACTAAAAAGCTTCATTTAAGAGTACCAACATGATATGGAAAGCTGGGTTAATGTTGTTTTCAATCCCGATTAAGAGTTTCTGGCATAAGTTAATGATTATAATTGGTTTCATCAGTATGATCGTTTTAAAAGTGTGTTATCATTATGGAATGCTCTTTTTACATTGTTTTGAACATGTGATCACATTTTTAAGATTATGAAACTTAACTACTCATGAGGTATTAGTATGAAGGGTATGACTAATATGAATGTGACATAGTTTACGAGCTACGGTTGCACCTTAAAAATGCGAGCATATATAGGTTGTTAATCTTTTTGCTTCCATACCCATTAATCACCTGTGGGTGTGTTACACACAAGTTTCAATAGATGTTAGCAATGGCGATTGGCTCTGCACAGAAGATTTTTTTTAGAATAATGTATATAGCCCCTAATAGTAAATCGTAATGAGTATTCAAATGTTAATTTCACAGATCCAGGCATCCATTGCCCAAGTTTGTCAAAGACAGTCAGAAGCATTAATCAAGAGGCGGAAATTGAACAAAGAACTGAATACATCATCTACACTGAGAGAATACCGCAATTATAGGAATGCTTATTCAAGAAGACGAAGGAGAAGCATGCATACGACAGAACTTCAACAATCTGAGCATAATGAGAGTGAAGGAGATCCTGACCATAAATCTCAGACTGATGAGCATGGAGCCCCAGCCAAGGCCAGGAGGAGGGCCTTAGGAACTCCATCCAACCACACTTGTCCATCGCCATCAGCCCCAATCCACCAAGAAGGGGATATATACATGGAAAATTCATATGAAAGAATCAGGAGAGAAACCCAAGATGAGGATTCCCCTATAATAAAGCCGGAAGCATTTACCTGGGGAAGAGGTGGCATGAGGAGTCATGTCCGACATGGCAGTTCCAGTAGCAGCAAAAATGTGCGTGCCAACCAGCTATCCAAGTTAACTGATTGTCTTAAGACCGGACCACAGATAAATGAAAGCCAGGTGTAACATATAATAATACACACTGCTTTGATGACATTCATTCTTGAAAATGATTGATCATTTGCAATGCATATTCTCATTTCTTTTATATTTGTTTCTTTCATTCGATCTCTACTACAGCAAGATGCCCACGGCCAGCTTGTTTCTTGCAATGCAGAAGACAAGCCGAGCTTGGAAAAGCCCTCCCCTTATTGCGATTCAAGTTTGTCAATTAATGACATCCCAGAAGTAAGAATAATCTTTAATATGTTAATAAATGACGACACTTCAATCTACACTCGTAGAATAATCTACGAATTGTGAAATAATGCCTTGTGAATAATTTTACAAGGCATGTAAAATACTAAAATGTGAACCCGATCATTTACTCAATTCTTTAGAAATTATACAGATTCCATAAAATCAATCAAAATGTGACCTCGTTTACTCACTTGTGAATCAGCATGAAATTGCTGGTGAGGTGAAACCACCGGCAGAATATATCGTAGAAATTCCATTGGAGGAGAAATGCAATGAGCGAGGGGCCGCTCTGAACTCATCAAACACGATCAGCCAGCTGCAAAGCTTGCAAGGCGAAGAAACTCTGGCCGAGATTAAATCCAACTACTACCATTCTAATCAGGATCTGGTGAGTATATAATGTTATTGTTGTTCAAAATGTGATAATCCTATGCATGATTCACCCCCCACAGAAAAACTATATATATATATATATATGTATGTATGTATGTATGTATGTATGTATATGTATATATATGTGTGTGTGTATATATATATATATATATATATATATTCAGCACACATTATATATGTATGTATGTATGTATATGTATATATATGTGTATATATATATATGTATGTATGTATGTATGTATGTATGTATGTATGTATGTATGTATATGTATATATATGTGTGTGTATATATATATATATTCAGCACACATTATATATACATATATATATATATATATATATATATATATATATTCAGCACACATTATATATGTATGTATGTATGTATGTATATGTATATATATGTGTATATATATATGTGTGTGTGTGTATATATATATATATATATTCAGCACACAGTATATATATATATATATGTATGTATATATATATATATTCAGCACACATTATGTATGTATGTATGTATGTATGTATATGTATATATATGTGTGTGTATATATATATATATATGTGTGTGTGTGTGTGTATGTATGTATGTATGTATGTATGTATGTATGTATGTATGTATGTATGTATGTATGTATGTATGTATGTATGTATGTATATGTGTATATATATATATATATATATATATATATATATATATATATATATATATATATATATATATATATATATATATATATATATATATATATATATATATATATATATATATATATATATATATATATATATATATATATATATATATATATATATACAGTTGTCTTGTGTTTTGGCTAATAAACCTCGATCTTGTTTCTTCCTTAGCTTATTAATTAGCGTGTTCGTTCTCATTGATCATGCATGCATATGATGTTTATCAGACCATGGGATACATGCAAAAGAAGAGCAACATATGCATCTTGGATTAGCTAGCTAGCTTGCTTGCAGATCACGGCCGGGTCAGCACAATACAAACATTATGGACTGGCTTTAATTTACTTTCTTTCTTTTTTCTATGGCTGCAACCGATCGCGGGGATCTGCCTCGGTTTCAGTTTCCAAGCAATATAAGTATAAAGTATATATATATAGTTTGCTGTGTTTTTGTTTTGTTTGGTTGTGTTCTTGGTTTGTGTTTGCTTTTGTTGTATTTAGTTGTTCCTTGTTCTTGATGGAAATAGCTACTAGGCTGCCTTTTTTTTACTGGGTCGGTCCAAGTATATATCTACGCATATTGAATTGATTACATTTGTGATGAGAAAGAATTTGACAAAACTGCATTGTTTATTACTCTGTATTTACTACTCCCTATCAAAAAGGAATCCTTTTTTTGCAAGACAAATTGAACGAAAGAATTTTTACTTTGTACTGTGTATTAATTTGCTTCCGTGCACGTCTTTGTCTATTTTATGGACCTTAGTATATTTATATCATAAAAAGGTGGACCTTAGTAATTTTCCGTCCCAATGCCCTTACTCGCAGATTGCGCTTTTGCAACTAAGAGTCTAAGAGTCATAGTTTAAGAGGGAAATACTCAATAGAATTATACGGAGTAAATAACAAATAGAGTTTTTCTTCCATGCCTTCACATTTGAAAGCTAAGGACATGGATGCTCTCTCACTAAATTAATGACATATGGAAAATTAGCACCATCTAATCTAAATACTCCATATAAAAATATTGATTATTAAAGAATGCAAAATGAGGTAACATTTTTTTCAAATAAATAAAATTAGTTCAAGTCATTTATTTTTTATACATTTTTTAAATTTATTTTCTATGGCCTAAAAAAACAAATAAAAATAAAAAAAAATTATTTATAAAAACAAATAGTGACAAGGCTAAATAAATATAAATATGAATAAAAAATATATATGAATTCTGGAGGGGAAGGTAAAATCAACCGATCACGTATAATTTCTTCGCTTTGTTTGTGAAATCAGGGGACTCGAGTGTTGAGTAGGAAATAATTGAGAGAGAATATTTTTTTTTTGTAGACTATTTTCTATAATTTTTTAAAAATATTCTCTATCTGAGAGAAGATATTTTCTCAAAGAAATATTTCTTTACTACTTATATTACCAAACATTGAAAATTAAATTTAAAATCGTCTAATGAGATATTTTTTTCTCCAAACAAATGGACTCTAGATGTAGTTATATCTAAATATAATTAATTTAGTGGAAAAGCATTCGTAACCCTTCAAATGCGAGGTACGGAGTATGTCATAAGGCAGGATGGCCTGTCACGCGTCCGGTGCGGATGCATGTTTATGTACGGAGTGTGTTTGAGGGATTGGAAATTAGTAAATACTCCATCCAATTCATGTAAATGATGCAAAATGTAAAGTTTTTTTAATTTATTTTATTTAAAAATTAGTGTAGAAAAAAAATAAAATTTACATAATTAAAGCCACATGAATTTTTTTTTGAAATAAGAGATATCAAAAATATTTTATTTTATTTTACAATCAATGAAAATGTACAAATAAATAAAAGTTCATGTGACTATTATAAAAAGCAAATGTGGCAAACATTTTGGGACGGAAATATACCAACTCCTTCACAAGAATGAATTACCCTTTTCGGTTAACATACAAAATTATGTGACTTTTAAAATGACTTTATTTTAAAAAAAATATTAAATAAAAAATAGGAGTATATAGTAAAGAGCTACGCCTAAAGCTTTATAAAATAAAAGGTGACAAAAAGATTTTATTTTGTCTAATGACTAATCAAAACATGCAAAGAAAAAAAATTATCGAGATGCCGAAATAATAAAGAGGTAAATCATTTTGGAATGAATGAAGTAATTCATATACGGCGTATTAAAATCAGCCCTGATACTTTTTATACTAAAATGCACCCCTCGTATCATAAAAATTTTCATATTTCTTTTTTATTCGTCTCAAAAGAGTGCTACATTTTCCTCTTTTAAATTAAAAAAATATATGTCTTTATAAATTTTTTCATTTTTTACAACACAATTTCAGTTTTCTTAATTTTATTGTCAAATAAAATGGTAAAACATTTTATGGAACGGATGGAGTACATATAATTTATATGGAACAATATCAATAATATATCTACATATAGTATCAAAAATTACTCTATGAATTGCCAACACTCAACACACATACAATGCAAGAAATACGCAAATTGTTAGTGTAATAGTCTTATTTTAAATTATTTTAAAGATAAAAAAGAATTTTTTTTGGTATAACTTGAATAATACTCCCTCCGACCCAAAAATATAAGCAAGAATACGCTAAACGAAGTAATTTTTTGAATTTTTTCAATCCATTTTATTTAAAGATTGATCTACAAATGAAAAATAAAACATATTTAAAAACTACGTCAAAAGTTCTACAAAACAAGTGGTGACAAGAATATTTTATTATATCAAATAATCAATGAAAATGCAACAATAAATAAAAGTTCCCGAAATTTTTAAATAGTGGAGCGTTGCTTATATTTTTTAAAATTCCTGGGATTTTTAAGCGTGGCACTGGCACTCCATATGTAGGCATGCACGTCTTCTGCATGGGTGCCCTACTAAACACTAATTAATCATCCTTCCTTCTCATCACCTACCTCTTAGCTACCAATTAGCTACTCACGTAATGCATGTCTAATTAATCTTTTTTCTCGCGTACTTTCTCTATTTAGGGTTGTCCCTAAATAAATCCACTTTCCCATTTTGTGATCTACATTATTATCGTCTTTCAAACAACATACGTGATGTCATTTGTTTTAAAATGGTTTTATTTACGAGTTGATATGTATATAAAAATCTGAATTATATATACTTAAAAATTACATCAAAATTCTAAAAAATAAATGATGACACATACAATATATAAAAAACTTATCCAGAACTTATTCATGACATTTTTAAAACGGAAGAAATATATTGATATTACAGTTATATTTTCTAGACTCACGAGTATTGGGGGCTGTTTGGCAACTTCTAAATAGGTAAGTGCTGAACTAGTAAGAGGTCTGAACCATTAAGTGCTGAACCAGTAAGAGGTCTGAACCATTAAGAGCTAGTATATTGCTTAACTATTCAGAGGCAAATGTTTGATCAATTCAGATAAGAGGTGTTAACCATTCAGACTCTGCATAATACTTAACCATTTAAAGCAAATCTCTTAACCATTCAGACATCTGAACCATTAAAAGGCTGAAACAAACAGACTAGACCATTAAGTGCTGAACCATTCAGACATCTGAACCATTAAGAGACTGAAATAAACAGCCCCTTGGTCTAGTTTCTTATTTTCGAATCAAATTCGACAAACTTTAATTTAATCGTGAATAACTCTTAATTACAATGTAATAAAATTTTAAAAATTTCAAAAAAAGTTAAATCTAATAAAATCATTTTAAACTAATACGGAGTATATATTATACTCCCTCAGTCCATAAAGGTCTCTCTCTTTTCTTTATTTTGTGTCCCACAAAGTCATTCTTTTTTCTATTAAAAAATTATTTTCATCTTACCTATAAATATTACTCCCTCCGTCCCAAAAAGATTTACACGTTTCAAAAAAATTGTGTCCCACAATCCCCTACCCATTTCTATTAAAAAACCACTTTTACCCATTACTTTTTCAAACCCTACCTATCACATCATACTTTTTTCCTAATAATCTATACATCACATACTACTTTTACCCATCACATCAATGGTATTTTTGGAAAGTCAACACAAAATTATCCCTTCCTTAATTTCAACTTTAGTCAAAATGGGTAACACTTTATGGGACGGAAGGAGTACCTTTTAAAAAATAATTTACTCATCACATTTTATTTTTACTTATCACATCAAGAGTATTTTTAGAAAGTAAATTCAAAAATATCTCTGGCTTAAATTTTTTTAAAATCAAAACAAGAATTGAACTAATTTTAAAAGAGCGAAAAAATAATTTTTATTTAATTGAGATTCAAAATTGATAAAGACACCATATTTTTCTTGTGCATGCACCATAACAACAATATATATACACAAACGCAAAAACGAAAATAAAAGCTCAAAAAGTTTAACGCAAATTTGAAGAAGAAAATTAAATGGCCGCTCCATCTCTCCTCCTTCTCTACCTTTCCGCTTTTCTCGCGGTCTCAAATTCCGAAGCGGGGCCCCTCGTCGACAGCTGGGACGACGACGCCTCCGGCATGGAGTACTACTTCCCGTCCCCGCCGCCGCCGGAACGCGGGCGGTGCGAGGACGTGCGGTGTCGATTCCCGGCGTGCGTGGGGTTCCTGTCCGGAGAGGCGGAGTGGCCGCCGGCGAGGTGCTGCTCGAACCTCGAAGAACTGAATGCGGTGGCGCGTGCGGAGGGCCCGCGTAGGATATGCGCGTGCATCGAGGATTTGAGCGCGAGTTTCGTGGACTCGAGGATACGGGAGATTTACAAGCGATGTGATATTCACCTCAGTTTCCCCATTTCTCAACACATGGACTGTTCCAGGTAACCTGCATTTGGAAATAAATACGGTTTTCGATTACTACTTTTTAATTAAATTTTAATGATGCACATTAAAATTAATTTGTGTTAATTAAATTAAATTTTGAAAATTTTCTACTAAATAAACTTAATAAAATTATTTTTGTGCTAATATACAATTTTTATTTAACTACAGATGATTAAAGTATAGAGAAATTTAATTAAATAACACTAAAACATAATGACTTTCTCTAAATAGTACCACGTGCGTTTTTCTTCCCAATGTAGCACTTTTAGTCATTATGCATTAGTCATTATTCAAGTAAATATTCGTCATCACTGGACATTATGGACATTATTCAGTTCTATTTAGGGAATAAAACAGTTTAAGTGATATTTAGAGAAATAACTTAAGTTTTAGTGCTATTTAATGCAAATATTTTTAAAGAAAGTATACTCCGATAAATTGTATTCTTCCGTTCACCAAAAAACTTCATCTTTTAATTTTTTCCCTTCCATCAAAACATTTCCATCTTCTATTAAAAAATACTCCCTCCGTCCCTAAATAAAGTTCCATTTTTGACTTTTTGAGGATTTAAGGGAGAGATATTTTTGTGTTGACTTTCTAAAAATACCCTTGATGTGATGTGTAAAAGTAAGATGTGATAGGTAGATTATTAGTAAAAAGGTATGATGTGATAGATAGGGTATGAAAAAGTAAGGGGTAAAAAGGGTTTTTTAAGGGAAAAGAGAAGTTTATTTAGGGACAAAGAAAAAACGAAAGAGGAACTTTATTTAGGGACGGAGGGAGTAACTTTTATCCCTACTTTGTTTAACCTAATTATTCCATCATACTTTTTCACTAATAATCTATCCATCACATCAAGGACAAAATTAGAAAATCAACTTCAAATATACACTTCTTATTTTTTTTCATTAGTTAAAATAGGAACTGTTTTCTTGAACAGAGGAAGTACAACATAATTAATGTAATGTGCTTAATAGGTCTGATAAGAGATTTGGAATTGAATTAAGAGTTGAAATTCCATTGATTGATTGAAGTAGAATTGAATTCTGCAATACCAATTCAATTATGACACTACCAATTCCAAATCCATATATTTTGTTGTTTTCAGTTCTAATTCTATAATTTGAATTCTGTATACCAAATGGAACCTTTGGCACCGTTTGATACACGAATTTCAAATTATGGAATTGGAATAAATGACTTCAATTCCAATTCTGTTGTTGGTAACACAAAAATCATTTGAATTAGAATTGATAGTACAAAAAATGAATTGGAATTGGTAAATTCAATTTTTTGAAATTGAACCCCATAGAATTTGAATTCTAATTCAATTCTAATTCTATCAATCCCGTAATGGGTACTTAATTCAATTCCACGTACTATAGTTGGAGTATCAGTTAATTAGCGAGTATTCTTATCCATTATTATTGGTCGGTCTAACGAGTATTTTGTTTGTATTTCTTGCAGTCTTTAAGCCAATGGATCGGAGCATTCCTAAATTTGAGTTGAGGATTCATTCTCTTGCCCGTAAATCTTTTCTATTTGTGACTTCTAAAATTCAATGAATATACTTTATACAACCATTTATAAAATAAGTTTTTTGCATCGTTTATCCCTAAATTTATCAAAAAAATTTGGATTCTCCTTAAACTTAAAAGTTACATCAATACTCCTGAATTTTTATCAATTACTGACGAGCTCTATCTACTAATGTCTGATGCTTAAATTTGATTATTAATGACTAAACAAGAATAGTTATCAAGAGTTTAAATTTTAAAGAGATAAAAATATAGAATATACTCCTTCCGTCCTTGAAAACCTTTCTCCTTTGTTTTTTCATCCGTCTCAAAAAACACTTCTTATTTCTATTAAAAAGTCACTTTTACCCCTTACTTTTTCATACGCTACCTATCACATCATACCTTTTTACTAATAATCTACCTATCAAATCCTACTTTTACCTATCACATCAAAGGACATTTTTGGAAATACCAAAATACACTCCCCTTAAATCTTTTCAAAATCAAAACATCTCATGTTTAAAGAGACGGAGAGAGTAGTATCTTAGAAGGGCACATTGCAGTTTTACATGTGTAATATGACTCTAGATGAATACAAACTTACATTGGATGAACGTGTGATCAACATTCAGTTTTAACTTTTTATAGTTAAAATTGAATTGAAAATCTTTAATTATTAATTAAATTGTAAAATATTTTTAAACTATTAATTGTTTAATCATATATAAAGTAGTTCTTATTTAACTATAAGTCAAAAGTTAATTTTCATAGTTTAACATGAACCAAAATAGTGAGAGCGGTGTCATGTCGTTAATAGAGGGATTGTAATAATATTACACCTTTGATGATTTAGGGCCTGTTTGGGAATAGCTTTAGCCATTAGCTTTAACGTTTTGAAAAGGCTATCTACGGTCAGCGTTTAGCGTTAGCGTTTTCAAAGTAATCTGCACCGTTAAAATTTTATTCATAACGCTAATGCTAATCTCTAACGTTATTCCCAAACAGGCCCTTAAGAGACACCAATTCAAACCCACCGTTTTACGGATAGTTGATGTGGATGCTATTGTAAGGCCTGTTTGGGAATAGTGTTAGCTATTAGCGTAAGCGTTTTGAAAAAGCTATCTACGGGCAGCGTTTAGCGTTAGCGTTTTTAAAGTAATCTACACCGTTAAAATTTTATCCAAAACGTTGACACTAATCTCTAATGCTATTCCCAAACAGGCCCGTACTCTACCTTAGCAAACTCATTCTATATATATAGAGTAATGCTTGGGTATTTCATTTTTTACCACTCTATTATATCTGCATGGTTGATGCTTTGGTGGTGGGTAAATTGAGGTATAAGAGTCAAGTGGAATCGGAGTTTTAGTTATGGGACCGAGGGTGTATGATTTAATTAAATGAATATTCTTTTCGTTCACAAATAAACTTTTCGTTTATTATTCACAGAGTTAAACTTTATTCATTTTTATGGTGTAAAACTAACATGAGTACTAAGTCGATCATAAAAAGTGAAAGGGTTGTAGGTGATCGAGAACACCTGTAACCCAATTTGTTATTATGATATGAGGATCGATTACAAATTACATGTGCGGATTATTGATTACTTGCAAATTATTTGATTACAAATTATTTATAATAGTGTAAAATATAGTTTATCGCTACTGTTTATCTCAAGACATCCTCCCGGCCAGTCTTCAAGTCGCCTAGTCTTCAAGCCTTCTGGAGATGAAGTCACGAACTCAGAGGTCTTACCCCTGACATCCACCCGGTCAGCCTACCAAGGTTGGTGAGGTCAGGCGGGGTCAGACTTCGTTACCACCCGGGCGCCTGTGAACTTGTCGAGTGGTACCAGTGAGTTATACCCATCAACTTTGTTGACCTATTTTCGTCACCTATTTGATTAAATAATATAGCTAGTTTTGTAAATTTTTTATATAATTTATTTAATATGTAACTTTTATTTTTAAATTTTACTCCATTTTTCATATAAAATAATTTGAAAATAACTTCAGCCAACATCGATCGTAACGCGCAACAGAAATTTTATTTGTGGACATAGGGAATATCAATTAATATTTGATAGATTTTGAGGTCCACTAGAAATAAGAATAAATATCTCTCAAGATGTTGTATATTGATATATTCAATTAATAAAGTTTTCTTCAACTGATCCGAATGGTTCTAATCTGTTTGGAATAATTTCAGATCTGATCCGAATGTAGTTATGTTTAAATTTGTTTCTCATCTGATTTAATCTGGTCTGATCTGCATACCTGATTCCAATAACAATATATAATAAGTAAAAAAATAAATTGAGGAGAACATGACCTTAGTCTCATAAAGAAGGTCTATTCATAAATTGTAGTGGTAGTTAAAATTAGAATCCTAGATTCGTAATACTCATAAGATCGAATTTTTATTCTTGTGACCGTCCTATAAAACTATTCCGATTTTAATTTTTAAAGGATTTATGGTTAGTGTATTTTGGTTTTGACTTTCTAAAAATAACTTTGGATGTCATAAATAAAAGTATGATATGATCGATAGATTAGTACTCCCTCCGTCTCCCATAGATCTTCCCAATAGCCCTTTTCCTTTGTCCACAATAGATCTTCTCATTTCATTTTTTAATAATTAAAATACCACAACTACCTCCACTTACTTTATTTATTACACCTCACCCACTTCATTTAATACACTCCATTCATTTTCATTAAGGTTATTATGGTAAACTTTCACCTTTTTTCAACTTTCCTTAAAAATCACCATAAGTCAAAATGAGAACATCTTAGGGGGACGGAGAGAGTAATAAATAAATGTGATACGATAAGTAAGTTAAGAATTAGTATTGGTAATAACTTTTAAATAAAAATGAAAAACATTTTTTGTGACGAATGAAAAAAGAAGTGAAAAATATTTTATGTGACATCGGAAGTAGAATATTTCTCATTTAAATCTAGATTCTTCACACGTGTCTTGCCTTGGTTGGAATATAAAACCTTTCTGGCCGATATTTTAAACCTCATCATCACCCCGGCCATTTGAAAAATTAATATTCACACGTAAAGTTCCAACAAAAATAAATCTCGATTGCATGTGATGGGACGTGTTACAATATGAAATATTTTATGGGCCTACAACTACAGAATGGATTGTTTTATCGGGCCGAACACAAAAACTCTGTATTCAATACAAGAACATAGGGCTGCTAGGTCTGCCAATTCATTACCTCTCAATTTTTACTTAGGGTGTGTTTGGTGATCAAACAAGATATGAGTTTTGATATCTTCAGACATCAAAATTCTTTTTGGGTGCTTGGTGGAACCAAAAAAGATATTGAATTCGATGAAACAAAAAAAGATATCGAATTCGATATCTCTAGATATAATAAGTTTTTCAAATAGAGGGTTTCGATATCTGACGAATTTGGGAAATATCAATATATGAGTTTGATATATTTCTCAAGCATTGATCATTCTTCGTCACTGAGTACCATTGTCACCCCCGAC